ATGTATCCTCTCTGAAACTGCAAGGGTGGGGCCCCCGGGATATCCTTCACCTAAAAACACCATGAATACAGCCATGGCTACAGGACTGCTTCATAGAGCCATGGTAACCATCCCCCAGCCCTCAGACTAGTTCACTCTACTCACTTCGGCTTCTTCCTTCAGCAAGTCAAACATGTTCTCCATGTCAATAAAGTTGGTCTGAATCATCCTGGGAGAGGGAAGGCCATGTGTTGGGAGGAGGAAAGGAGCAGAGAGAGAAGGGAAGAGGGACGATGAAAGATGTGACCACGACAGCACAGGTGAAGGGTCTGGGGGCCAGTGACCACTCTACCTGTAGTAAGTGCCAAACCAGTTGAGAGGCATGTAGAGCTGTATGATATAGGTGCCAAACAGCACAAAATCTCCAACCTTTGAACAACAGGGGAAAAGGTGTAATGAGCAGGGAGGGATGAAAGCTATCTCCCAATGGTCTGACCTGTTTCCTGCCCACCACCTAGATAAAAGCTCCCCTTCTGCCCTTCTTCCTTCACATTCACCCTCTCACAGCACATTCCCACCTTCCTCTTTCCTTAAGCCTCACTCACCTGCAGCTGTTGCTCACTGACAAAGTAGGCACAGAGGAGGGATCCGGCAAGGAGCCCAAGCCCAATAACCAGATTCTGTGTCTGGTTTAGCAGAACCAGCGATGCATTCGACTTCCATTCCAAACTCTGAAGGACGAGTGATAGGAGGGGAAGGTATGTCATGTGCCCACATAGCCCTGGATGCCCCACCATGACGAGACGAATCTGAGTGCCACTCCCGTCATCTCCGGCATCTCGCTGAGTGCTCAGAAGCATCCACCAGCCCAGACCTTATCCCTGTGAGCCTCACCTGGTACTTGATGATAGCTTCTTTATATCGCTCCACCTCATAACTTTCTGCATTGTAGTATTTCACCTAGGGAGGTCAAAACCTACTGTAGCACCTGGTGCCTTGGCTCTACACCCCACCAATGCTTCCCAGAGTCACACCCACAGATACAGGATAGTAGGAGATAACAGAAGTTGGAAGGGACCCTAGAAGTCATCTATCTAGTGCAACTCCCTCATTTTACAGACGAGGAAACCGAAGCCTAGAGGCGAAGTGACTTGTCTGCAGCCATGCAGGAACGAAGGGGCAGAGCCAGGCTGGAGGCTGGCTCCTCCCAACGTTGCCACCATCCCAGGCTCCAGACTTGCTGACTCCACGTGTACCGTCCTGAGTGCTAAGCCCCATTACCGTCTCGAAGTTGAGCAGAGAGTCCACTGCTCGAGCTCGTGTTGCATTCTCCTGTGTATTCATATCACGGCGAAACTTGGTTCTCCACTCAGTGACTAAAATCGTCAAGGCTGGAGGGTGGTAGGAGCGGTTGGGGGAGGGGAGAAGATACAGCAGTTTCCCCAATTCAGGCCAGGATCCACCAAAAGTGCATTCACCACTCATCACATGATTAAACTGATTACAAACCTAGAGTGAGCTGATACTCCAGGGAAGCCACTAAACAGACACCAAGTGTGTCTTTGTATACCCCGGCCCCACCCCAATGGTGTCTCACATTTACTGAGCACCTTTTATATTTTTTTGAGTAATGTCACGAATGAACAAACACATGCCGTTTGTGAATTGATTCTCCCTGACCCTGGGACAACAAAAAGTATTCATTCTCTCCCTCTCGCCTCACAACTCCATCCCTGAATTCAACTGATGATCATCAGGAAAACCACGGTGAACTGTCATGGTGACTTTCTTTGTTAGTAAGCAGTAAGATCCTATTGGAAACCACTGACCCTTTCCCCCAAGTTAACCTCGAGTCAGGGAATCGGAACTCACTGAGGTAGAGAGTCATGCAGACGAAGACGATGAGGCCAAACCAGGCATTGAAGAACATGCTGAAGTAGATGATGCCAATGATGATGTCAGCTAAGGTTGGTAAGATGTTAAATATCAGGTAGCTGCCAAATGGGTATAGATAGAGTGGTACATGAACGGAGAGGAAAGGGGCAATCCCAAAGCCCTGTTTGTCCCAGGATCCTCTCTCCTATGCTTCCTTCCTTCAGATCCTGCCTATTTCTCTACCTGAGCAGCCCAGTGACACTAGCTGTGCCTCGGTCAACAATTCGGAGCACTTCTCCTGTCCGTCGTCCCAGATGCCAACGTAAGGCCAGCCCATGCAAATGGGTGAAGAGACGCAGTTCTACTTGACGCGCTGTGAACTGCTGCACCCGGATCCATAAGAATGTTCGTAGGTTGCTCACAAATCCTGGGGAAGGGGCATGCACATGAGAAGCAATGGCTTGAAGCCAGAAAGTAGGGTATGTTTATTTTTTAAAAAAAAACCCACAAAACTGAAAGAGAGGAGAAAAAAAAACAATCATGGGGGAAAGTTTGTGGCTCCTAAAATTGGAGGTAAGTTCAGAGAGTTACTACTGTACCAGTACTGCCAGTGCCGCCCCCTTGTAAGAACTTCAGTAGGACGTAAGTGCAGACTATCCAGGCCAGAGAGCTCCAAGGGGCCTTTGCAGTTAGTGCATTCACTATGGAAAAACAGTCAGTACCAGTTGGTAGCCACTCTCCAGGGGAACTGTCTGGAGAAACTAGCCATTCCTGCCTCCCCACCACCCTGGTGCCATGTTGGACTTAAAGTTATCCTCCCCCCCCCCAAGTTATTATCACAAGGACCCTTCCCCACCATCTAATGCAGGACCAGGACTACATTCATATCCTACATTCTAGACGTACTGGATGCAACTGGTGCCCTTCTGTCCAAATGCCTTCACCCATACTTTTTTTCTGCTTCAAGTGTCTTCTCCACCAACTATGATTTTGCAAGACCCAATTTAAATTCCCCCTTTTCCATGAAGACTTCTCTGATCTCCATGGCCAGAACTGATCTCTCTCTCCTCTGGATACCCACACCTCTTCAGTTTATATGTCTCTTCCACAACCTTCTGATTTATGTTATGTTTTGTAAGGAATAGTAGGTATTTAGTACAGGTTTCTAGAATGAAACTGACCAACATGTTCAGTTCAATTCACTTCTAGAATTAAATACCTACTATACACCAAATGCAGCACCATCAGAGAAAGTGTGTGTGTGAGAGACAGAGACAGTATGTAGAGAAGTATGATACAATGAACTGTGGATAGTGCTCTAAGAATATTTTAAATACTTGTGGGTTGGGGTGGGGTAGGGGTGGGGGAGAACTGGCATCTTCCACCCTTTCCCTGGGCCACCCCTCACCGATGTCCCTGTAACAGATCGGGACCAGCACGTTAAGCCCCCGCTCCAGGCCCATGAGTGCCAGGCAAACAAGCACAATCAGCTGCAGGGCTGGGCTCCCTTGGGGCCACAAGTAGCCACTTAGCAGTCGCAGCTTCCGACCAAGATCTCGCCACGTGGAAGGGCGTCTAGAGGGGCCTGTAGTTGGCAAAGGCTGTGGAGGCAAAGTGTGGAATTCAGGGGCAGCTGGAGGATTAAACTCAGAAAGGTGGGGGGTAAAGCTCGGGCTCCTGGGAAGGTTGTCAGCAGCCTAGCCAAGCCCTGCGTCTCCTCTGCTTCAGGGACCAGTCAGTCCGAGGGATTACTGGCCCCGGGAATGACAGGTCCCAGGAGAAGAGTTAAATTAAGTTAAGGCTGTTTTAGAAGGGCAAAGCTTCAGGGGACATTAAGTATCCCGGAAGTCAGGAAGGTAAATGCACCTGGCTGCTCTCCACATCACGCTCATCTCCATTGACCTGTAAGGCATAGGTCTGGCACCGATGCCCAGGGGCCCAGAGCCCCAAGCCCAGGAGCCCTGCAAAGACCAGATAGCGCAGCACCCACAGGCCGAACTGCACCTGGAAGACAGCGGGGCAGCCCGAGCCCGTGAGTCAGGGTGAGTCAGCACTCCTCGTCCCCTGCCCAACCCCCCCCCCCCCCCCCCCCCCCCCCCCCGCCCCCGGCCCTGGGCGCCGCCCCACCTGTTGCCCCAGGCTCTGCCGGGACCACCACCACAGGGGGCTGTTCCAGGACACCAGGGCCAGATTCTCAGCCGCCAACGCCGCGGCCCACAGCAGGAGGAGGCCGGCGCTGTGCCTAGCCCGGCCCGCGGCCGGCGCCCGGTCCAGCAGCTGCAGCGCCAGCGCACAGGCCCCGGCGCCGGCCCCAAGCAGGGCCCCGAGCAGCACGTAGCCCGGGAGGGGGGCGCCGGCGGGGGCCGCGGCCCGGGCAGTCAGCGCCGCCAGGGGCAGCAGCGGCTGCAGCCCGCCCAGCAGCAGCTGCAGCCCGGCCAGGAAGCCCCGCGCGCCCCGGCCCGGCCCCGGGCCCACGGCCGGGTGGCCCCGCGGCGCGCAGAGCCGCCGCAGCCGCAGCCCCAGGACCAGGGTCCCCAGCCCCAGGAGCGTGGCGGGCGCAGCGGTGAAGAAGAAACAGGGGCTCAGGCCGCCGCTCGTCCACCGCGGGCTCAGCGGCCCCTCCGCCCCGCAGTAGCTGTCCAGCCTCAGCATGGCCGGGCCCCGTCGGTCAGCGGCAACGCATGCGCCCGGGTCTCTGGGCCCGGGTACCCCCGGGGCGCTCTACCACTTCGCCCTCGCCCACCCACCCTCGCCCTCTCCGGGGACTATCAGGCAGGGAGAGGGGCGGGGAAACCTCGGCGCCTCGCAGCCACCCCGCCCGTCGCTCCACCCCCAGGCTCCGTTAGAGACGTCCCATTGGCCAATTCTGCCGGAGGGGCGGAGATCACGCTGCACGCGGCGGAAACAAAATAAGGAGAGGAGAAAGTCCACAATGCATCACGTGACGAAGCTAGCCTAGAGCCTGAGAGTCCCGGATGTGAAAACCTGCCGATCGCAAATCCTTTCCACGACGGCGTTCTCCAGAAAATGGCGGCTCCTCCGAGCCGGGCTCGTTCTCTTCTAGCCTGTCCCCGCCTGTGGGGGAAGGAGGGGGGCAGAGAGGGTAAAGAGCGCCGCCAGGGACACCAGACAGTGAGGGAACCACAACCGAATCAAAGTCCCTCTTTTATTCAACGCCGTCCACCTGTACACGGCCCTACAGGGCGAGCTCCGCCACGCCGAACCCAAAAGTCACCATGACAAATCGGTCGGTGGTTACAGGTGCCTGGCGTAGCGACACTTTGACTCCCAGCATGCAACGCGCCAGCGAGGGGCCGGAGGGGAGCAGCGACCCCACCCCTGCGCGCTGCACGCTGGGAATTGTAGTCCTGGTGAGTAGTCAGAATCCTGGAGCAGAGCCTGCCCCACTTCCCAAGCAGTAGATTGCGTGGAGCTGGGCAGGGGGCGACCAGTAGCAGCAGGGCTTAGAATGGAAGGACCTACGGTAGACTCCGAGGGGCCCATCTATGAAGGACGGAGGGCCAAACCCTAGGAAGTCAGGAGCTCCAAAGTCCTGCTCCTGCAATTAAAAAAAAAAAAAACCCAAAACAAAACAGAGCCCTCCCCCAGCTTCTCGAGGGCCGGTCTTGGCCAGAGGGAGCTGTGCAAAGCAAAAGCCAAGCCCCAGCAGGGGCAAACACACAAGCCCGGGGGAGCAGGGGAGCAGGCAGGGCCAGGAGAGAGGGCAGGAAGATTCCTCGATCACTCAGCTCCCCTCCTCTGACCGAAATGAAGAAGGGGAGGGCCTAGGCACAGCCTCCTCACGGTTGGCACGGGCACCCCAGTTGGCATGGTCTGGGCAGGTCAGGGAAGGAAGCCTTGGCAGGGCAGGTAGCAGCAGGGGAGAGGTGGCAGTGCTGTGGCCGGGACTTGGGGCTGGTTCCTAGCACCACACTTGGAGAGGATGGGGGTGTGGGGCCAGCAGTCAGGGCCCAGTGGTGGGGACAAAGCCAGTGTCCAGTGTCCCCAGGCCCTCCAGCTGCCAGGGCCAGCCTTCCACTCGCTGGAACTAGAGTTGGCACCTCCCTTGGCCCTGCTCAGACAAACAGCACAGAGCCAGGCAGTCCTCCCATTCAGCTGATCTCAGCCATGTGGTAGGCAAGGACAGCTTCTGTTCAATGAGGCCCTGGGCCTTCCTCAGCCTTGGCTACACCTGCAGAGAAGAGAAAGAGAGGCAGACTTGGCTCAGAGGTAGGTTTGACACTCTCCCATTCCTTTGATAGTTACAGAGGTAAAGGGATAGAAAAGCTATATTCTTAAGTCTGTGAAAGGAGACAAACTGGCAACACCATTTTCCAATACCCCAACAAACAGTGAGCACCTACTATATACTAGGCATGAAGCTGGGAAATTATCCTGATTCAGAGCACTCATCTTTTCTCTAAGCGGAAGTCCCTTAAATCCTCTCTCTGTTCCTGGGAACCAGGTGATACCGTTTCTCAAGGACGTCTTTCATCTTCTGTCTCATGTTAGCCCTTACCTTGTGTACCTGGGGTGGCAGCTCATCCTCAGAGCCCTCCTCCGGCACAGGCTCAGGGTGCCTTGCTGCTGACTGCCCATCTTCTGCCCATCCCCCAAGGGGGAGGCGGGAGAAATGAGAGGGAGCCCGGGGCACAGTGCCAGAATCTAGAGAGGAAAACCACAGCCAAAAACAAAGTAAGGAAAGTGGGCAAGGAATAATAACAGCTGATATTTTTATCAGCATGCTTTAAAGTTGTCAGAGTGCTTTATGTGTATGTTCCCATTTGAACTCCATTCTGCGTGGTAACTATTCCATGAATCATTATCCTGGTACTGCTATTTTACAGATGAAGAAACTAAGGCAGTAAGTGATTTCCTCATGATCTTGGGATGCTCAAGTGCAAGAAACAGAATTGGAATCCAGGGCTTGGTTTTCTTTTGTCCCTTGCTCCCCAACCCTCTCCTCCCTGCATAGGCTTTGTCTCCTCACTGTACTCTTTTTCCACCTCGCCTCAACACGTCTCATACCTGTGATCCCCCCATAGCGTCGTTGGAAGGCCCCTTGCAGGGCAGTGGTCTCTGGGGCTCCAGGCCGAGAGGCAGCACAAGGGTAGCTGGCAGAGCGAGGGAGCGTGGGAAGTGCCCGGGAGCCCTCTGTCCCCTCTTCAGGGGCACTTTCCCCACTTTCATCACTCTCTCGTCGGTGCCATACATGCCGCTCTGGTTCTGCCTGGGCTTGCTGTTTGTGCAGCTACGGGCATTAAGGGGCTCAGTCGGCACAGCATCAGAGGAAAAGGCCCATTCCCAATGACCCTTCTATTGCCAAGTTTGCCATTCCCTGGACTGCTGGTTTCCAGCCCTGTGCCCCCAGTCCCAGCCTACTAACCTGGTGCATGTAGAGGGCATGAAGGCTCATCTCTGTGGAAGCATACTCAGATAGTACGAGGCTTTGCAGCTGCCCCTCCCACACGCTGCTTCCAGAACTGGCTGTCCGGGCATCCACCCTGTCCCCCATAGCCCCAAAACACAACTCTTATCACTACAGCATGAAGAGTCTGCTTCTCAAAAGCAGTGCCCTCTTTTTTCCTGCTGATCCTTCCTCCTGAGACCCAGACAAACCTCCTGGAGTCATTCCCCTCTCCTCCCTCCCCTCCCAAAAGGACAGCCTGCTGCTAAGCTCTGTCCTTCACTCCTGCTCACCCTGAGCCACTCAGAGTACCAGGTGCTCGGGCTGTAGGGGCCTGGCTAGGTTGCACTGGAGAGAAAGAACGAAGGGCAGAGGCAACTTCAGCCCGATGCCTGGAACCCTGCAGCTCCCGGGGCAGTGGTGGGCCTCGGCATGATGAACCTGCCACCACATTGGCAATCAGGCTTAGTGGCTGCAAAGAAAATGAAGAGTAAGTGTATAAGATTTAGAGGAAGGATGATCCCCCCGCTCTCCAAAGTTCTCTTCCCTAAAGGAATCCTGCCCCCCCAACTCTAGATGTCACAGACCAAAGGCCCAGTGTCATCCTCTACAATGAAGGTTGGACTGGATGAGGCTCTGATGTTGTATGCACTGGGCAGGGTCTATGAGTTTCTCTGCCAACCCAAACCACCTGGGCCCCATACATAGACACTTCCACGCTCAGGTTTTATCTCCCCTACCTTCTTATCCTCAAGACATACCTCTGACTCAGACTGTAAGGACTGGATAGAAGTGAAGAGGGCATTTTCAGGAAGGGGTCCCCCTGGAGGGACTCCAGCTGCAGCTCCATCTCTCTGAACCTGTTCCTTGAGGAAACCCAAGAAGGCTGTGCTCTCACGAGGTGGCTGCCAGCCAGGATTAGTGATGGCAAAGTGCATAAGCGACAGCTCTGTCTTCCCATCCTCTGCTTGCTGGTAAACTGAGGCCTCTGTCTGGCCCCCAGACATCCACTGCAGATGGAGGAAACTGTGATTTAGAGAAGCTGTGGGTCTCCCCATGCATGAACCCCTTCACCTGTCCTTGCCGTGATAGCCTCCCCCTGCCTGACAGGCAGCCAGTCAGTGGCTCTGTAACTTGCTGAGGGGGATAACCATCAATGATGGGGATCTTCATGAGCTCTCTTCTTCCATCACCTGAGGATGACCATGCTGTCGAACATCCATCTGAGCAAAAGAGCAGGTGTCCCCAACTCCGACAACTTCCACAGTGAAGTTTCGGAAGAAGTCGATTATTTCCAGGGCACGTGGGCGCAAGCAGAAGATTAAGATGAGGGGAGTGACGATGGGACTCAGCAGCTCCTCTACAATGAATACCTGAAATGGAAGGGGCTGGATCAGGTGCCAGGAACGGCCCAGGAGAGACCCAGGGGCTCCTCCCCTGACTGCTGTCATAGCCCAACCTCAGCTCTACTCACTGCCTTATACTGAAAAAGCTGTGCAAACTCATCACGGGTCTGCGAGCGGTGGGCATTGCCCTGCCAGTGATCAGGCATGTAGTGGATGTGAGCCAAGATCACTCGAAGCAGCTGCTCTGGGCAGAACACCATGTGCTGATCGGGTATGAACGATCTAGAAGAGAGATGACTTGTGGTAATCACTCCCAAAGAGCCAGGCAGCCGGTCTATTCCCTACCTAGCTGCAAACAGTGGAGACCTTGTTCCGCAGCTGCCTCTGCTTACATCTCCTCCCTCAATCTTGGGACCCCGTCCCCCCGTCCCCCTTCCCGCTCACCTGCAGACAGTGACAGCAACTCCTAGGAGCGTGACAGTTGTGAGCACATGCTCTACAGCCAGCACGTCTTCATCGTAGATGGTGAGGGCGATGAGCACCGCCAGGATGGAACCAGCAAAGAAAGCGCCATTCTTGGCCAGCAGCGTGAGAAGTGGAGAAAGAAAGCAGTTCATGTACTTGGAAGCTGGCTTGTAGCCCCTACTGAGGCGTGACTGCAGCTCGTGCTCCAGCTCATTGAAGTGACGAAGGTAGCACCGACCATAGAGGGACCAGCAGCGGGCACCCAGGGCTCCCGGCTCCCGTTTCAGCACTTCTGTGTAGCTGAAGAAGGCATAGAGAATCTGCCAGATCAGGATGAGGGGGCAGAGCAGGAAGTTGGCAATGCCAATCCAGAGGATGCGGGTGCTGAGCCGCTGGGCCAGCTCCAGACGCTGACCACCTCGCTTGTACTCAGCCTTAAGGCTCCATTCATTAAGAAACAGGGAGCCAGGCCCCCAAAATAGAATGAGCTCAAAGTTGTACTTGAGGCCACGAGTGAAGAACACGACTTCTCCCAGGCCAGGCAGCCGGAAACGCAGTGGCAGGAGTGACTTGTTGACAAGCGCCACCATGTAGTTTTGGAAGCGTAAGATGCGGTGGTAGATGTCAAGCTCTGTCAGCTCCCGCTTGTGGATGCAGATCTGGTGCTCCTTCTGTGTCTGCACGATCCTCGCCTGCACCTCTTGCCAAGTGCAATATGGAAGTGTGGACTGAAAAAGGCAAAGGCAAGGCCCAGGAAGCTGAGTTCCTTTGTCCTCTCCCACTACCTCCCCATCCTCGCCTCCCCCAACTGTCTTACCATAGGTATGCGCAGCGCCTGCAGGTAGAAGGAATGAATTTCCCAGTAGCAGCAAACATTGTAGATGAACTTGATGAGTCGGTGGATCCAGAAGACACCAGCAATAACCAGAATGGAGATAAGGGAGCCGTTCTCTTGGATTCTGGTGAGGAGGGAGACAGGCATGGAGCACCCTAACCCACCGGCCTGCTTATCCACAACCCACCTTTGGTACACACTGCCCTTGAAAGCCATTTTGCAAGCCTGTTGCTACAAGTGAGCTTGTATTCCAGGGCAGGGCTGGCAGCAAGAGGTGCCAGCAGCCTACACACAACTTCCCCCCAATTGACTGTATGACAGTAGCCAAGGTGGCCATCAGTTTTAGCCTCAACGTGCACTGACCTGTGTTAAGGAAAAAGCAAAATGTGCTCAGGAACAAGTACTATCTTTATTCTACAATTGCAGGAGAAAGTGAGAGAGACAGACACACCAAGGCTAACATTTAGACTTAAACTTCTTTCCCAAAGGGTGTCACAGAGAAGGTTTTGAATCTTACACACAAGAGGAACACAATGTCATCAATTAAAAACAATTTACAGATAAAGGGCATATTCAAATGAAAGGAACATCATATAAGGTATAGCTGTCTTTCTGTTATCAGCAAGGTCTTGCATAGTTAGGACAAAGAGTCTCTTAAGCTTAAAATGATATTTTGAATTCCTGAGGCCACTTACTGCTTTGTCCAACTAATGCACACTACCCAAATAACAACTGGAACTTTCCAGTATCTTTATCACCTAGGGCCCTTACCTAGCACTGCAAACCTGGGCAGGCAGAAAAGCATCTGGCAATGTGACTTTGACAGGATCACTGGGGTGCAGACTGTGATTCACCATCTTGTTAGCAAAGAGGATGTCATAGTCCACACAGCTGACCAGAAAGGTGGTGAAGGCCACCACAAAGAGGAACTGCCTAAGGGGAGAAAGAAGTAGGAAGGCACTTCTGTCTCCAGGTGTCAGAGAAACACCAGTGAGACACAAAGGAAAATGAAAAGGACATGTAGGTGGTGAGGGATAGGATAAAGAAGCCTCTGGGAAGAAAGAGGCAGAAAGGAGGGAAGTGTGGCCCCAGCTCTGAGTCCACTGTCTTTGGGCTACGTGGAGTTAGTGGTGAAATGGAAGCAGGAGGATAAAGCCCTTCACCCTTCAGTATACTTACATGAGTTCAAAGATCTCTCCAATGAGCATGCAGGTAAAGCCATTCTTCTGGTGCAGGTTATAGACGTGTGGCCGTTAAGAAAGCACTTGGGACGAGTGAAGGACCAGGATCCCATGAAACAGGTGGGTCCCAGAGACAACCAGGATATCTTTCTCAGCCCCTCTTAACCCTTCAGTATCCTCCATCTTTGCTCCTAGGAGTACAATCTCAATGCCACCCCTGCCTCCCCCTCAGGACTCTTAGAGAGTGACTGAGTTTGGGTATAGTCACCTCTTCCCGTACCCCAACACCAAAGGATATCCGAGAGAAAAAGAGGTCAAGGTTTTCAATGTGATGCCAAGGTGCTGTGGAAATAAGGAGAAGGGAATCAGGATACCCCTTCTCTGCCCACCAAGGGACACTCCAAGTCATCCCAACACCCTCTTCCCAGAGACTCACACTTGCTGCCCTCAGGGACATGCACTAGCAGGTCCTCTTCTCCAGGAGGTGAGTCACTGTAGGAGGCCTCCAGCCGTTGGTACTCTGTGTCAAACTGTGCCATCACCACCGCCTGCCTGCCTTGTCCACCTCAAAATAATAGGGGATATTTTTGGTTTAGCACCTAGATCTTCCTAACTGAGCAAGGAGTGGAAAGACTTTCAACTCAATCTTTATCACCAGCTTCCTTTAGGCAATGGGGGTATATAGTATAGTGGAAAGAGCCCTACTTTAGGAGTTGTGATTCCTGGATTCGGCTAAGTCATTCAACAAGGCTTTATTGAGTTTTTACTGGCCTTAGCTAGGATACAGCTGACTTTTAGGTGTGGCCTGTTAAGTGGGAATGAATGAGTTTCACTTTCACTTAAAGGGATGATTCATTTTTTCCCCCTCCTCTACCTGAGGGTATCCCCGGTCTTTTATAAGAATAAAAGAGGCAATCGTGATTTCTAGATTGATTGATTAATCACTGGTAAGGAAGAGCTTTATGAGCATAGGGTTTACATAACTCTCAGGGAACCTACCAGCTCCATGGACAGCATTTGCTCCACTCCAGTGTTTGATGCCCAAGTGGTTCTGCAGTTGCGGGAGGAGGTGTTAGACAGACAATGGGGGTGGGAGGAGGAATGAAGCTAACAGAGGAAAATGAAGCTAAGGGCTGATCACCCCAAGAGGAGGCCAGCTGGGCACTGGTGGTAGTAGTAAGTACTTCCTCTGGCTATGTGGACTGCACAGTTAGCTACCCAGAGCTTCGGGGCCCCAGGACACGTTCTATCCGCCTTAAGAGAACAACCTAAAATCGGTGCAGAGGCCAGGTCTGGGTGCCCAGGCTTCCTCTGCTCCCGAACCTTACTAACTGACCTTCTAGGGGCCACTCAGACCGTACCCAAATTCGGCGCTAAAGCGAAGCCCACTTGGAATACGCTTCCCTTTCTGGACCTCGTCCGCAGACGCGCCCGCACCTAGCTCGGCCCTCCCACGGTCCAAGCAATGCCTTCCAGAGCAGACCCAGGGTCGGCGGACATTGGGCTGGCAGGTTCAGCCACAGGGTCAGGTTTCCCCGGGGCCGCCTCCCTCCTGGCCTGGCCTTCCAAGCCCTACAAGGAGGGGCCTTTCCCATGGCCGCCCCCGCCCCCTGCCCACCACTCCCGGGCCTCCGGCCCGCTCGGCTAGGGACACTGGCCGCGCGCTCCCGGACCCCCACCTCCCGCCCCCTTCCCAGAGCGCGCCCCCGCCCGCGCGTGCCCAGTTATCAAAACACCAGGAGCGCGCGTCCCCGCCCGGTTCCCCCAGTTACCCGCCGCACGCACGCCCCCGCTCCTCCTCCCCCACAATTTTCCCCCCTCCAGCCCCAGATGTTCCAGACTCAGTGGGCACGTACGCCCAGTCCTGTCCCGGGCCCTCTGTCGCCGGTTACCGGTCCTCGGCTCCTCCTTAAGCTCAGGCGGTGGTGGACGTGCTGGCGTCCAGGGCTTCGACTCCAGCCCCAACCCTGAGCACTAGGCCGGGCTGATGCCACTCATTGCCTCCCGCAGCCAGTCAGACCAATGACTACAGGGGGTGGAGATGCAACAACCAATCGCTTGCTATGGGGGTGGGACATGTGTTGTGTAGCGGGTGGAGATTTAGCGGAACCAATACAAGGCTACTTAGAAGGTGAGGCTAAGAGACGGCGGCGCGGAATGGCCTTCGTGGGGCGCCGTAGTGACGGACCCGAGGTGGTGTTTCTGGGATCTGAGTGGGACTGAAGCGCCGTGGGCGCCGAAGAGCACGCACCGGGGACCTTCCCGTAGGCCGCGCCGACACTGTGCAGTCATCGCCGGAGCCCGTCGCCCTGGTAACGGGCAGGTGGCGAGGGGGCCTCAGTCTCGCCCCAGCTGCTGGACCGGGAAGCCGCTGCCGTCGCCATGTCGCCCGGCCCGGTTCGAGCCCCGCCTCCGGCCTCGGTGTCAGTGTTTGATCTCGGGTTCGGCGACCCGCTCTTGCAGGGCCTACGCCTTGTGGACCGGGCGCAGGGCACGGCCTTGGCCCGGGCCCCAGCCAGCCCAGGTAGCCGAGGGCCCTGGGGTGGGGGTGGGGGCTCCCGACACGGGCTCCTCTCCAGGCCCCTTCTGTAACAGTGTCCGGGCTCAGGACTCGCCCTGCCTTCGTGTTTGTGGGGAGGATGCGCTGGGTTGAAATACAGAATTCATCATGAACTACCAGCATCCTCAGTGCTATTTAAGTAAATGGATTTAAAAAAGTCAAACTGTGCAGCCCCTTTCTGGAACATCTGCTGCACCAGATGAGCCAGGGTCTTGTTTAGGGGAGGGGAGAAGGGTCGGAGGCCTGGTTAGCGCCCCTTCTGTTGAGTGGTCACTGTCCAGCGGCCCCCAGGACATTCCCTGAGGTTTCCTCCCTTCACTGCAGAGTCCGAGAAGGAGGCCAGCCCCAGGGAGCAGGGCGTCCCCAGGGGGCACATCCCCAAGGGGCACGTCCCCAAGGGGCACACCGAAGTCTCCGATCGCATGTTTTGCTCGACCTGCATGCAGCCCTTCCAAAGCCGCCAGGATCAGGTACCAGACTGCAGCGGGCAGGGACGGGAACGGGTCATCCGTGGTGCCAGGCTCATGCCCAGTCGGCTTATCCTTTGGCTTTCCACCAGAGGGAGCATTACACGTCGGATTGGCATCGTTTTAATCTGAAGCAGAGCCTCAAGGGCCAGCCTCCCCTATCTGCCCACGAATTTGAGAAGCAGAGCTGTTCAGGTGACAAGTGGGGACAGGTACAGCCCGTGGAGGGGGTTCAGCCGTGGAGTCCAGGGAAGGTCCGAGGGGTATAATACAAGACCCCTGCCTTGTCCCCAGGAGACTTATCCAGCATCTCAGGTTCGGAAGACTCGGACTCGGACTCAGACACAGAAAACACGGAGTTAGAGGGCTTAGATACATTGAATGAGGAGGTGGTGGAGCTAGGAAGACCAGACCCCCACTGGGGCTTTCACCCACACCGTGTCCTCTTCTGCAATGCTCAGGGCCAATTCCTCTCTGCCTTTCGATGTCTCCTGGGGCCTCATCAGGCAAGTAACCCCCTCAGTTTCTCACCTCTCCCTTCCCTGAGTTTGGATGAATAGAACAAACATTTATTAAACACCTACTGTGTGCCAGGCACTGTGCTAAAAGGCCACACATAGGAACAGTGCCATGGACTGAGCTAGTCCAGGGGTGGTGAATGAGGCTAGTGTGTACTTTGTATTAGTCTGAGCTAGTCTGTACTTTGGTGGTGGCATGGTAATAATAGCTAGCATTTGTATAGCACCTTAAAGTGTGCAAAGCCTTTTACAAATATCTCTATCTTCACAACAACCCTGGGAGGTTGGTGTTGTTATTATCATCCTCATTTTACAGATGAGGGAACAGAGGCTGAGAGAGGTTGTGACTTTCCCCAAAGTACACAGTATCTGAGGCTAGATTTGAACCCTGGTCTTTCTCACTCCAGGACCAGTACTATACAGTACCATCTAGCTGCTTCTTGTGGTGAATCACTAAGTCCTGAGAGCAGATTGCAGAAGATACAGCAGGCTGAGCTAATGTTTCCTTCCTTATCCTTGTAGGCTCCCACAGAGGAGGCAGAGTTGCTGTTGCAGACCATTCAGGCTGGGGGTCCTCAATGCTGTGTGGTCCTCATGGCTGCAGCTGGTCACTTTGCTGGTGCCATCTTCAGAGGGTAATGAGCTGGAAATCGAATGGGGTGTTGAGATGAGTCCAGGGTTAGATTCTCAGAAAAGCCCTCTAACTTTCAGGACTGAATATACTATTTACAGGAGAGAAGTAGTGACACACAAAACATTTCACCGCTACACTGTCCGGGCACGGCGGGGGACAGCCCAGGGACGTCAGGATGCCCGGGTTGGAGGTTCTCGTTCTGCTGGAGCCAACTTGAGGCGCTACAATGAAGCTGCACTATACAAGGTGGGTCATCGAGACCCTTCAGAATCTCTTCTCAAAAGCTTCTCTCTCAATTCAGTTTCTTCAAACATAAGTGGAATAGGAAGGATTTTGCCCCTTTTTGTTTTTTTTGTTTTGTTTTTAAATAATCACCAACATTACTTTTTCCTAAGGAGGAATTTTAGAATGGAAATCTCCAGGGGCATTACCCCCTTTAATTTTTAACCCTCCTATGTCTTCCCTCAATCTATGACTCCTGAGTCACTGTCTGGCTGGAGGATGGAACATAGTCTGTGGAGCTGAGCTGCTGTCTCTTCTAGGAGGTGCGAGAGCTGCTGGCAGAGCCAGGCTGGGCAGGGCCACTGGGGGAGGCAGGGACTATACTGCTGCGAGCCCCCCGATCTGGCCAGGCTCTCTTCTTCGGGGGCCATGGAGCACCACTGAACCGGGGGGATCCCCGTCTCTGGGATATTCCCCTTGCTACCCGTAGACCCACCTTCCGAGAGCTTCAGCGTGTACTTCAGGTGCTGGCCATGGTGCACATTCATGGTGAGAGCTCAGCCCAGATCTTCAGATTTTTCTTCCTACTCTGAACCAAATTCTGGGAAAAGGGAACCATTTGGTCCCTATGGGGCTCCTTAGCCACACCTTCATGGTGAGGACCCTGATACCCTTCTTCTGAGCCTACCGGGGAGCCTACTGGTCACAGCCTCTTGTTTTGGTACAGGAGAAGACCCAAGGGAAATGGCCAGATTGGATTCTCCTCAGACGGACTGGAAAGTGAAAAATGAGAAAAAGACGATGACCATTCAGGAGAAGGGTCCAAGTGATGATGATGAGGTCCTTGGGCCAAGTGGTGAGTCTCCTTGTGAAGTACAAAGAGTTTGTCTCATGCCTCATAGAACTTCCATCCCTCTCCAGGTGTTTCAGCCAAAAAGGTACCAGAATTTGAGTTCATCTTTCTCTTTTTCCATGAGGACATCTAGTTTTCTGTTGTGTATATTGGACTCAGCCCTATTGCATATACCTTTCATCCCTCGCTTCCCAACTCAAATTTGTGCTTTACTCTGGGAGAGGCAATAGAGATGGCTGTCTGCCAGGGCAGCTTTGATTTCTAGGTAGAGAATGAGGAGCCACAGCCTGTTTTGGTGACTTCTCAGGGCAGACCTGCTGTATGTCAATTTATTGAAATCTCTGATCAAAAGCGACTGTGCTGACAAGATGTTATTAATACAAAGCTTTGAGCCTTTGGTTTTGCTGCCTTTATTATGAGAAACTCACTGTCTTCCTCTGTCCCTGCTGGGCTGATCTTCACAGTGTAGACTGGCAGCCTTTTTCCTGTATTCTGTATGGTAGTTACCACTAAGGGTTATCTATCTATATACATTCTCATGTACCTAAGCAGCTCAGATATGCCATGACCATATCCTTCTGTCCTCTAGTGTGACCCTCCTTTTTTTCCTTCAGAGTCTGAAAGAGAAGGCAGGTCCCCTGTGGAGCTAGAGCTGGTGGAGTTAACCCTGGGAACCCTGGATCTTCGTGAGTTTGAATTATTGCCCAAGAGAAGAAGAAGAAAAAGGAAGAAGAAGAGCCAGGAGGTTAGGGCTGGTGTAGAGATGGCTTTACACTCCCCCCAAGAAACTGTGCCCCTTTCACAGACAGCCCAGGAAAACATGGTGCTTCTGCAGCCTTCCCAGGAGGAGACCAGAACCACAGGGCAGCAGGAGCTGTGGGACACTCTGTGGGCAGCCTGCCGTGCAGGAGATATTGCAAAGCTGAAGCACCAGCTGCAGGCTCTCCCCTCCAACACGACAATCCTCACTCTGCTCAGTGCCCCATTGGGCGCTGGTGGTTCCACTCTCTTACACGCAGCAGCTGCAGCTGGCAGGGGGCTAGTGGTCCAACTACTGCTAGACAACGGTGCTGACCCCACAGTCAGGTTCGTGAAGGAAAGCGAATTCCAAAACGATGTTGGGAGCAGACCCCAGCCATGAGAGCCTTGAGCTGGATCCTTTGTCTCCCTGGGTGACACTGGGGAGAATGGGCCCTGACCTGGTTCTCTCTCTACTCCATAGGGATTCCTGTGCCCGGCCCCCATACGCAGTTGCAGCTGACAAAATGACACGCAATGAATTCCGCAAGTTCATGGAGAAAAATCCAGATGCCCATGATTACAGCAAGGCCCAAGTGAGAGCTGGGAAGGCAAGGGGGCAGGGTGAGACTAAGCTTCTCCAGATCCTTATGGAGGGTTTCCCCTGGCCTGGTGGTAGGGCTTAGCTTATTCCTTCCTTGGATCTCCCCAGGTCCCAGGGCCCCTGACGGCAGAGATGGAGGCACATCGAGCTGCTCGTCGGCAAGAGCAGAAGGCGGCCAGGCGGCTTAGGGAGGAGCAGCGTCGCCAGCAACAGGAGCAGGAGAAGCATGAGCGGGAGGAGCAGCAGAGATTTGCTGCCCTCAGTGACCGTGAGAAGGTGAGATGGTAGCTTCAAGAGTTTTCCTTCTGACCAGCTGTGACACTTTATCTCTTCTGCAGTGCTGGGTGTCTCATCCTTACTGTGGCTTACTGTTCTCCTCAGAGAGCTTTGGCTGCTGAGCGCAGACTGGCTGCCCAGCTTGGGGCTCCAGCCCCTCCGATCCCCAGCCTCCACAACACGAGGTACAGAGGATAGGGTGGGAGTGGGGAGAGCACAGTACTGCCAGGACTGTTGGGAGGTGGGGTGAGAGAGCAGGGGTTTGTGGGGAGACTCAGCTACCTCCCAGCTCTTTGTTTTTCTTCTCTTCAGGCGCTGCTGGGGTTGTGGGGCCTCTCTTCAGGGCCTTGTCCCCTTTCACTATCTTGACTTCTCCTTCTGCTCTACACGATGCCTGCAGGAGCACCGCCGGGGAGGAAGGCCACTGTCCTGACCCTGCAGCAGCCTTCTCCAGGCCTCCTGGGGGGAAGGAGCTCCAAGGGAAATGAAGGGATCGGGCTAGTTTTTGGTCTCTCCCCCAACTTTTGCTTCACCCTCATACCTCTGCTGTGGTACCAAAGAAGGATGTAGAAAGCCAGAGGGAGGAGGGAGTGTTAGAGGAGTCCCAGCAAAAATAGGGCCAGAGACGTGTGTGGAAGACGAGGAGTATGGTGTCTCTGAAATTTAATGCAATAAAATTGGATAAAGTAACAGTATTTCAGTTGGAAAAGCCACAGAACCACCTCACCCCCCGGGGCCTATCCTACTTCACTGAAGTTGGGCCTGGGATGGCCCTGCCCTAGGGCAGTCAGCTGGAGGTCAGCAGCAGTATATTTAATGAATAGTGAAATTGAGGAGAGGTCTGTCCAGAAACTGTATTTGAGTCCCAGGAGGTGCATGCTCCAACTCCAGCAGTTTGATGCTGTTGGGGGCACCTGTGGGCAAAAGCAGAGGTCCTGGCACGTAGAGTGATTGCTGTGGGCCCCGTTTTGTCCAGTAACGGCCCAAATTAAACCCATTGATCCAGACTTGGCCCTAGTGGGAGAAGGGAAGAGTCAGTACTCCTTGTGAATAGACAAATCCCTGCTCTGGGACTCCCAGATAAAATAAGGAAGCATCTGTCCTCAGGGTTATTACCTTCTCTTCACCCCCACAAACACACAGACATACACATTACCCCCCCCCCCCCCCCCAAATACCTTGGTCCAACCTGGAAGGTATAGAAATGTGTCCCAGGCAGGACCTGGGACTCGAAAAGTTGCAGAGTAGAAGGCAGGGCCAGAGGGAAACTTCACATCACATTTTTTGGTCTCAAATACCCTGTTCTCTGAGTCCATAAGGGCATCAATATTCAGAGGAAAGAGCTGCCAGTCAGTGAGGGCAACTTGCCCTAGGACCAAAGGCTGTAACAGGCCCTGTGGGGTAGGCAAATGAAACTTGTTCTCTACCTACCAAACTCTTAGACCAAGCCTATACTAGTAATTCCAAACACACAGGCAGGAAAAAGAACCTGTCTCAGTCCCATTTTCTTTCCCCCACCTCAACCACTTAACTTTCCCTATGGGATCTTGATGGGGTGAGATGCAGTCCTGGTTCCCCATTCAGTCAGCAATGTGACTTTAAAACCAGAGGATCTACAGGGGAATGGGGCAGAGGGGTTCCTAGCTGTCCCACCTTAAAGTCACTCTGGTTGAACCCAAAGCTGATCCTCCCCATATTCTCCAGCAGCACATCCAATGTGGATCCTGCTTGCCCGGTCAAAAACAGTGCTGCTTCCTTGCCTCGTTCCATAATCCCCTGAAACACCTGTGAACAGGACGAGTGATGAGGGGAAGCTAGCCCTCGCTGCTGTTCCTCTGCCTTATCACAGAAGCATACCAGGGCAAAGAGAGCTTCCCCACAACTCCCAGTCCATCCTACAACCTCCATTCCCTCAAAACAAAGAGAAAGGTTCAGGCTAGCCATCCTGAAGTAGGGAGTGGAGGGCAGCAAAAAGGTGCTGGGAGTAGGCTTGCCAGAGTGGGAAGCCGGAGAGCTTAGGAGATGGAGACCTTGAGGGGTCTTGGAACTGAGGTTCTCACCCCATCCAGCATCACATAGGCACGATCATGGACACTACTGTTCTGTACCCAGAGTTGAGTTGGTTTTGTCAAGTTCTGGGGCAGCCGTGTCCGGTACAGTAAAAAGCCATAATCCTGATATTAAGGAAAGAAGAAATTAAGCTGGCTATGAAAAAAAAAAAACCAAACACACACATTTGGGAGATGGAGCAGAGTTAGACACTTGGGTAAGGCTGTTGGAGGGTGTCTGGCCAGCTGGAGAAGGGTAGATTGCCTCACCTGCTTGACAGCCTCAAAAGTTAGGGGTAAATGAATATGGGTGGGCTCATCAGGACACAGGACATGTAGAAAGTTCAGCAGATCACCATCCTACAAAAGCAGAGGAAAATTTGCAAAGAACAAGAAGGGGAACTAGGGAAGAGGGACAGAGTCCTCAAAGGTGCGTGGAATCAAATGAAGAAGTGGGATGAGGGTCTCACCAGCTTCAGAGTCACAGGTCCAAATTTCATCTTAGGGCTAGGGAGGGGCAAGGGCCCCAACGGAAGTTCCTGGAACTAAGCCCAACACAGATTTTGTCAGGAGCCATCGGGATTAAAACAAAACAAATTCTAATGACCCACCCCTCCCCAGACCTGCACAGGACCCCCTTACCACCCTGGCTGCAAAAATCCCCCCATGTTCTGAGCCTCTTAAGCTCAGGAGAAGATCAGGGATCCATAATAATGACAGGCACCTTGCTGATGACGTTTCGGATGGCAAATAGTTTGGGTGTGGGATCCCCAGCTTCAGAAATAGGTGCGTCATAGTCATAACTGGTCGTGACTGGTAGGTAGACCTTCTTCCAGTCAGCACCTGGGAGATTAGAAGAAGACAAACTTAGCCCAGCAGCTAGAACTCCTGCCAGCAGAGGAACAGTAGCAATCAGCCTCCTCTTACTTCCCACCCTCTGCTTGTCCTTCAAAGGCAGAACTGTCTCCATTTCCCTGGTTTTGCTCCCTACTTGTCCCAGACTCACCGTTCCAGTAGCCAAAGTTGGTGCCTCCATGAAACATGTACCTGAGGCAGGGAAGGGCAAGGGAGGAACATGGTGTAACTTGCCTAAGTTACCTGCATTCAGAAGCTCAGCTACCATCCCTAACTCTCTCCCAGAGCCCACTTACATGTTCACATTTGCCCCCAATTCCAGAATGTCCTGTAGTGCTCTAGTCACAGACTTTACATCCTTTGTCGAGTGATTGCCACCCCAGTAGTCCAGCCAGCCTGTGTAGAACTCTGAGTTCACCTGGAGAGTTAGATGAAAAGATGAGGGCGGGAGAAAGGAAAAGGGAACCAACCGAAGCCCTCCCTCATGAGCATTGCCTTCTGGCTCCCCTTCCCCACCCCCCTCACCAGGGGCCCATTGGGCTCATATTTCCGCTGCTTGGCAAAAATCTTGGTCATGTTGTCAGCTGCAGTAGGAATGAAGGGGTACATGATGTCACAGGTCAGAGTGTACCTTCCCCAGACCCTACCCATACCCTCTCCTCAGGTGACCTGGGCCAAAGTCCACAGTGCAATAGAGTCCCTGTAGGGTGCCACATCTGAGCCCTTCAGGCCCATCTGTGGTGAACAGGAAGATCTCATCCCCCAGCAGTGCCCGGAATAGCCCTGCCAGGTGTCTCAGGTATGTATAATCACAGGCAAAATAGCTGCCATATTCATTCTCCACCTGTCAGAGAGATGGGACGGTAAGTTTGGACTGAAAGGTAGAACAGACCTTTCTCCCTTCCCTCCCCGATCCCTTTGCCTCTGGCACCTGCAAACTGATGATGTTGCCCCCATTGTGGTAGAGCCAGGGCTGCACCATGGGCAGCAAGACATGGAACCAAGAGTCCACAGCGGCAAGGAAGTCTAGAAGGAAAGAAGTCTGCATGAGCTCCACCAGTCAGCCATCAGCTCTCCTGGAACAGAGATGGTCACAGACCCAGAGCATTCTCGGGCAAAGGATCTTACAGCTCTCCTACCAAGGAATGTGGGAATCACTAAAACTCAGAACCAAGCAGGCACCCACCTGACAGCTCACTGAGACTGACACAGGAAGCCTGGAAGTTCAGCACCTTGGAGTGCTACAAGGAGGAGGTAAAGCCACGCCCTTGGTATCAGTACAGGCTTAAGGCGCCGACTGAGGAAAACAGGAAAGAAATGGAAGAGCAGAAGAAAAGAGTGAAAGAGAAGAGCAGACAAAAACCCAGAAACACATAGAAGGTGGGAAGAGTGGCACGCCACCAACAGGTATCCCAGATGCCATTCAACAGGAGGGAGCCTTAAGTTTCTTCTTCCCTAAAGACCAACCAATGCATCCTGTACAGAGTCAGATAGGACAGACAAGATGGTGAGCTGATGGCCTTTGGCACCAGAGTGATTCTGCTAACCATCATAAAACCTGCTTCAGTTAGCATGTATATGCTTAATGACTTGCATCTTGAAGTCAGAGATGCTATGTTTTGTCTTTGTGTCATCAATGCTAGCATAGTACCTTTAAATACTTGTTGGACCGGACTGAAATGGATAAAATACTACCCAAGGAGGTGCTAAAGCGCTGCCATGAAGGAATATTAATTCAATGAGACAAGTCATTAACCTACGGAGATTCTGAGCTTCAAAGAGGAACTTAAAAAAGGGAGCCATTAATGCCACTAAAAAGTGAAGAGATTTCTCTCCCCTATGAACAACAAGGAATTGTTGGGAAACTTAAAATCATAAAGGTCTAGTACCATCTACATTATTTGAATGTAGTTATCTTTCAGTTTCCTAGCAAATGTTTCATTTAGCTCTGAATCATGGAATTTTATGGTTGGAAGAGAGCTCAGTATTATCTAGCCCAATCCCCATGTGAATCATGAAACCCTCTATAGAATCTGCCACAAGTGATTCCCCAAGTCTGGCCTGGAAGGCCCCTTGGTGATGGAGATTTTCCATGACGACCACTGCCCCACTCCTGGATGACTCCAAGGACACTGAGTATCAGCTCAGGGCAATGCTTTTCAACCCTTTCGTACCCATTCTCCCTGTTGTACCCTTTTCAACCCATTCCGTAGTACTTGAACATAACCGTGACCAACTTGGTCAAGGAAACTTCCTAAGGAATTCTCCCTAAGAAGGAACTTTATTTCCTGCCCAGCTGAATGACTTGATAAGAGTGACTGAAACAGGTCCTGAACCACCAAGTGAGTTGGCAGGAAACATGATGGGAAGGGCCTCCCTATAGCAAGGTTCCCTGCCATCTGGACTGGCTAGGTTAAGGCTGATTTCCTTTAGGTAGCAACCCAACTAGGTGAGGCTAAATGCCAAAAAGGCCTTCTTCCTGGTTGAAATATGCTGGTTAGGATCTACTTACCAGACCCATTTCAAAGTGCCCGGGATGTCCTAATGACTTAGCAAACCTACAACTACCACTTTCCCCATCTCCTTCTGGTTTTGTAGTGCATGACCAGGCAAACTTCTGTCCTTTTATATTTTTCAACAATGGTCTTTAGTCCCCAAACTCACCTGGATCTGAGGTTCTTAGGACAATGTCAGGTTTTCGAAGCAGCCAGGATGGGAGACCACCCTGAGAAGGGCATAAAGACAGAAATATAGAAATAGATAAAAACGAATTAGAAGGTAAAAGAAGGGCTGATGACTGAAAGGAATGGGCTGGGCTGGTCAGTAAGAAAAGAAATGAATGAGCTTTGTCCTGTTCCTTCTCCCACTCACCATTTCCCACTCTGCACAAATGTAGGGTCCCGGCCTCAGAATCACCAACAAGTCCTCACTGGATGCTGCCTTCAGAAATGCCACCAGATCCCGATTGCCTTGGAAGTTGTAGACCCCAGGCTGTGGCTCATGATAGTTCCAAGGCACATAACTGGGGAGAAAAGGGTTAAGGGGCCCCACAGTGGGAAGGGGTCTGGGGAGGAGGATCGAACTATAAGCCCTACCAGCAGTAGCCAGGGAGCCTCAGGAGGTAAGGGTATTCCACCATTCTTTTTCCTCTGTCACTACCATTGTGACAAGACACTTAGGCTTCATGAGCCCCAGATTCCTGTCTGTAAATGAGGCGACCGGCTTAGATGGCCTTTATAGAGCGGCAATCTTGGAGTCTTCCCTCCACCGTTTGTCCTTCCCCACCCCACTCCCCACAGCCATCCTTTGTCCTGCCCAGCCCTCCGAGGAGCGGGTCTCACGGATCAGGGTTTGGGAAGCCCCTTACACCTGCACTGCGTTGAGGCCGCTCATGCGCATCTTGTGGAGCCGGTCGGACCAAAGCTGGCTGGGGACCCGGGAGTAATGCAAGCTGCCCGACACATAGCGGAACGGGACCCCGTCTAGCAGGAACTCGCGCCGCTCGCGATCCACCACGAAGGATCTGCGGGCTGCCTAGGGTGGGCAGGAGAGAGGCGCCCGGGCAGAGGAGCACTCGGGGGGTCGCGCGCCGCCCCGCCCCCCTGCTCCCGGGGACGCTCCGAGGCCCGGGGCTCACCTGGGCCAGCAGGTGGAGCAGGAAGAGGAGCCAGAGCCGCGGCCCGGGGCCCATGGCTAGCAGAGGCTTCGGAGCTCCTCCAAGGCCGCCGGCCACGCCACGAGGCCCCGCTCCTGGGCGGGTACAAGAGCGACTGGGGAGAGTCTCCAAGCGCCCCTTCCCCCCGCCTTCCTTCCTCCCCGCGGGAGACGCTCCTACACAGGCAGGGCAGGAGACGGTGGTCCCCTAGCTCTAGCAAAACAAAACAACCAAACCCAAAAACCTCGTGGGTGGAAGAACGGATGCCTGGGGCATGGGATGAAGCCGCCTTTGGGAGGGGACCGAGGGGACACGCCCAGAGCGTGACGGATGCGGGGCGGGAGGGGCGGCCTTCTCCGAGCCAGGCGGGACACGGGACTTGGAGAAGCCCGGTACGAGCTCGGGGCTTGGGCCTGACCCCCGAGAGGAGGACGTGCTTCAAGCCCCAGATAGGGAGGGGGGAGGGGAGCGGCCGGAGCTGCCCCCCACCCCTACCTCCGGCATGGGGGGCCGCCCGTCCGAAGCGCCAAGGGCCTGGCTAGGCTAAGGCCTAAGGGAGCCCTGGGCCAGCTCCCGGAGCCCAGCAGAAAGGTACCCTCCCCCCGCCCAGACTCGGGCTCTTGGGTTCCGGGCGCACAGCGGTCCCAGCGCCGCGCAGTTGCTAGGATGCCGGGGGCCGTTACCACGGCGCGGGGAGATGACGACACGCCACCGCTTCCTGTCGCCGCAGCCGCTGCCGCTCGCGCGCCTGGCCCAGGTCCGTGGCAGCTCCGGTTCCCTGGTGCCTCCGGGGGGTGGGGGGGGGGGGGGCTGAGGGGAGGGGGGGGGGGGGGGAGAGGGGCCTCGATCGATCCGGGCTGCAGCCCCTGCTGGCTGGGGGTGGGGCGCCGGCCCCCCTTCCCCGCCTCCTCCACCGATCGCGGGGCGCCCTGGGGTCCCTCGGGAGGCCTTGGGCGTGGGCTCCTCACCTGGGGATGGAAGGAGGGATTGGGGGGCGCTTCGCGTGGTGCGCTGGGTCGGGAGCCCGAGGAGCGGGGCGACGGTCAGCCCTCCAGGGTCGCTTCCGGCTCGGCCTCAGTCCTGTCCTGTGATCCCTTTGCAGCCCTTTGACCGGTTACCCCCTGGAGCGTTTGCTCATCACTGCCCCCATCGGTGGGCAGGCTCTGCCCCCACCCTGAGGATGACTAAGGCACCATGGGCCACACGCTGTGTATCTGCTCCCGAGGGACCCTCACTATTGACAACAAGAGATACCTCTTCATACAGAAGCTGGGAGAGGGGTAAGTGCTACCTGGTCACCTCCTGGTCCCCAGGTCAGGATGCTTGTATGCGTATGTGTGTGAGAGAGAATATAGGATCCCGGATATCAGGGCTAGAAGAGACCTGAGGCCATCTCATCCGATTTCCTCATTTTACAGAGCAGGAAACTGAGGCCCAAGATTATTAGGTGACTTGCCCAAGATTCCATAGATAGTATCAGAAATGGAATTTGAACCCAGGTCCTCTGACTGTTCTAAGTTCCATCAATCCAGTCCTAGAATGTAGGATCCAGTGAGAACAGAATCTGTTGGGAAAGCTGCTTCCAGGTTTTGCCCTGCACAGACTTGCCTTGCTGACAGAGCCTGGTCTTGCCTTCAGAATTTCTGGAGCCCCCATCTTAGAGAGGTTTCTGCTCTGGGGGGAAATATGCCCCTGAGGAACCTCTCAACGTCTGGGCATTGTATAATGTGGCCGTGGTCATTTTTTGGCTCCAAGTGGGTTCAGCTACGTGGACCTGGTGGAGGGACTGCAGGATGGGCACTTTTATGCTCTGAAGAGAATCCTGTGCCATGAACAACAGGATCAGGATGAAGCCCAGCGGGAGGCTGACATGCACCGACTCTTCCAGCACCCCAATATCCTTCGCCTTGAAGCCTATTGCTTGACAGAACGAGGCTCCAAGCAGGAGGCCTGGCTGCTGCTACCCTTCTTCAAGGTGAGACTAGCTCCTGGTTGAGGACTGGGTAACAGTTCTCTGGGGACTCTGAGAGTTCTAAGGAAGGACACTATGAGAAAGGAAATAGATGTGAATTGATGGAATCAGGATTTGTGTTTTGGGGGGAAGGCTTTGCCCATAGGCATTTAAGAATGGTTATTGAGGGGATGAGTACAGGACTTTTGAGTTTTCCCATTGAAGACCCTGGTCACCTTTGGTGGAAGATAGGACCCTAGCCTGGTAAACAAGAGAGCCTCATCAAATGAGAAGGAACACTTAGCCAGCCATGGTGGGAATTGGAAGAGACTTGTGTTTTGCAGAAGGGTACACTATGGAATGAAGTGGAAGGGCTGAAAGACAAAGGCAACTTCCTGTCTGAGGATCAAATCCTGCTGCTGCTGTTAGGCATTTGCAGAGGCCTAGAGGCCATTCATGCCAAGGGTTATGCCCACAGGTCAGTGGGAGGGTATTCTATGCCTGCTGGGGAAAGGTGTGGGAGGAGGGATATAAAGGATATTTACTGAGAGGTAGGGGAGAGACCTTTTTTCTGCTCATAGCCAGAAGCCAGCCCATGCTTCTTGAGTACATGTGACTCCAGTAACCCTCAACAGGGGGCCATAAGTCCTACTAACTTTCCTACAGGGACCTGAAACCAACCAATATTTTGCTTGGAGATGATGGGCAGCCAGTGTTGATGGACTTGGGTTCCATGAATCAGGCACGAATCCAAGTGGAAGGCTCCCGACAGGCACTAGCCCTGCAGGTAGAACCCTCTGAATTTTGCTTAGGGATACTGGGGATGAGATGGGGCAGAACTAGCACTGCAAGTCAGGCTACATTCTCCAGGTTCTAACATGTTCCTTTTGAACATGGTGGTGATGGGACCCTTAACCCACCCTTACCTCCCAGGATCGCTTTTTTCCAGGACTGGGCAGCCCAGCGTTGTACCATCTCATATCGTGCCCCTGAGCTCTTCTCTGTACAGAGCCACTGTCTCATTGATGAACGAACTGACATTTGGGTGAGCCTAAAGGGAGTTGGTGGCATCTATCTACTTTGGAATGACTCCTTAAGGGAAAAATGGGGACGTTTGCCTTACTTTCTATAGCTTGGGGCCCCAGGAAACCTGTCATGTTGTTCTTTTCCTCCACTTCCTTCCTATAAACTGGTGGCAGTGCACAGGAAGTGGTATAGCCAGGGTCTCTGAGCAGGAGTGTGTAGGCCTGGAGCTGTTCAGCCAAAGCTCCATCCATCCTCCAGTCAAGGAAAACTCTAAACCAGAAGAGCAGTAGAACTGACAAACAGTTCTGCCAGAGCTGAGTTAGATCCCTGCTGCTATGGTGAGTAGACTTGCAGCCCTTCTCTCCCCTTCCCACATTGGCTTAGGCAGTTTTCTTTGCCCACATCAAGGAGCAGGGGGACAGAGCACTTAGCATTGTCTGGCCTAGTACCTAGTAGATGAATTCATCAATGATTGCTGATTGATACAGGACCCTGGGTCCCATTTCCTAAAAATCATAGGTGTGTGCTTAGTCCCTAGGTTGTGTTCTGTATGCTATGATGTTTGGGGAAGGCCCCTATGACATGGTGTTCCAGAAAGGGGACAGTGTGGCCTTGGCAGTACAGAACCAGCTCAGTATTCCCCAGAACCCAAGGTGAGCGCACGGAGGGGAAGCCATTTCCAGAAGCTGTGAAATTTCTATGACATGGAAGGCCCTATGCCTTAGGGGGGTGGGGAGAGAGAGAGAGAGGGAGGGAGAGTGTGTGTAGCTTGCCACATTTGTACTCCTCAGGCATTCCCCAGCATTACGGCAGCTGTTGGCCTCTATGATGACTGTGGACCCCCAGTGCCGGCCACATACTTCTCTCCTCCTCAGTCAGCTGGAAAGTTTGCAGCCCACAGCTCCAGACCAACATACCACACACATCTGAGAGAGCATGCAGTTTCGGAATATAGGACTTTCTATAAGAGGGAAGTATTTTTCCTCAATGGGACTTTGAGGATAGCAGACTCCCATCCTAAGAATACTACATAGGTGCTTCTGAGCCCCTACCCACACAAGATGAAGAGTGGGTCCTTGAGAAGGGACCTAGCTAACCCACAAATGGAGAAATGGTCACACACGGTACAATTGGCCCTGCTGGGTCCACATCATGGTCTGCCCCTAAATGTGGGGGGCAGGGAACAGCATTTTCAGAATATGTAAATACAGAAGTAAAGCTAAAAATGTCCGTTTATTTGCCTCTTGTTTTGCTTTGGGGCTGGAGGGGAGAAGAAAAGGTATCAAAGTCTACTTGTCCTTTCTAGTGTGACAGTAGATGAGAAAGGGTAAGGAACCTGGAGGGCAGGGAAGTGGCCCTCCCACCCTGCCTTAGGATGGAGGCTAGGATGCCAGTCCTTTACTGAACCTGGCCCCTCTAAAGGCAGGCAGCCTTTTTTTTTCTTTCCCTTACTGAATCTCTAGCGGTGGATGGCTAAGCCTGAGTGGCTGGTTGTCGCAGCCATTTTATCCCAGGCTTTTTTCTAATGTTTCTAGCACACATTGAGTTAATGATTAATAGGCAGGCTATTGTGGCAGTGCCCAGCTGCCTTTCCTGCAGGGCCTGCTGAGTAAACAGGGGCCCAACCTTGGCTGTTGCCTCTACTCTACTCCCTGAGGGAAGGGCACTGCGTCCCTGAATCACCAGAGAGGGCAGGGCTGGCACCCGCTGCCCTTGTGACACAGGCTTCCTCTCCCAACTACACCCATCCCCCCATGCTGACGCAGGGCTGGGCCCTGGGCCACCTATTAGCATAGCTGTAATTTCCCCTAGGGCCCTGGCAGGAGGCCCCCAAGAGGCGAGGCTGAATCTGGAAAGAAAGCACAGAGAGAAGGGGAGAGGACCTGACTTTTAATGCCACAGCTCAAGGTCCCTGGCAAAGCAGTGGGAGAGAGCACAGAGGCCATGCAGAGATGAGAGGTGCAGAAGGGACAGACGTACAACCACTCGATAGCACCAATGCCCTGCCCATCCCCCAGCTTTGAGGCTGGGCACCACACTAGGCACCCCGCCTTGGAACTCTGGCCCAACCCTGCCCCACCTACACCTTTCCTATGCAGATGAAGCTAATGGTCTGACTCAAGCTTCTCTTCTTCTAAAGCTGGAGGATGCAGAGGCAGCATGAAGGTGGCAGGGAGCTCTTTATCACTGAGAAGCAAAACTGGTCTTTAGTTTTCATTCTGAGGTGAGCATATCCTGCCAAGAGCAGGCAAGGTTGGCTGTGGTGGTAGAAGGAGCCCACATCCAAGACAAGTCCAACTCTTTGGTCCTCTTTGGACACACCTCAGTGCCCTAGGGCCTTGAATGCAAGGGACTAAGGGCTAGGCGCTCTAGGCCGGGACAGGGATCATCAGCAGTCCTTACCTTCAGCCCATAGGAAAGAAAAAGGTAATGGGCAGCAGGGAGGGAGGGAGGGCAGCCACAGAGAGGGAGGAAAGGAGGGCGGTAGCAGCAACAGCCTGGCAACAGAGTGCACAGCACAAGGGGTGGGGGCAAGTTGAGTTTCAAAACACAGAGACTCTGTTTATTTCGAAAGGATTTTGCAACAAACAGTAAAATGGCTTCAGGTGGCTGCTCTACTCTTCCCCCTCATCCTCATCCTCATAGGAGTCGATGCCCACCTCCTCGTAATCTTTCTCCAGGGCTGCCATGTCCTCCCGAGCCTCAGAGAACTCTCCCTCCTCCATGCCCTCACCTACATACCAGTGCACGAATGCCCTCTTGGCATACATCAGGTCAAACTTGTGGTCCAGGCGAGCCCAGGCTTCTGCAATGGCTGTTGTGTTGCTCAGCATACACACTGCTCTCTGTACCTTGGCCAGATCCCCACCAGGGACCACAGTGGGTGGCTGGTAGTTGATGCCAACCTTGAAACCAGTAGGGCACCAGTCTACAAACTGGATACTTCGTTTGGTCTTGATGGCCGCGATGGCAGCATTGACATCTTTGGGCACCACATCACCACGGTACAGGAGGCAGCAGGCCATGTATTTGCCATGACGAGGGTCGCACTTCACCATCTGGTTGGCTGGCTCAAAGCAGGCATTGGTGATCTCAGATACTGAAAGCTGCTCGTGGTAGGCCTTCTCAGCAGAGATGACAGGGGCATAGGTTGCCAGGGGGAAATGGATTCGAGGGTAGGGCACCAAGTTGGTCTGGAACTCTGTGAGGTCCACATTAAGGGCACCATCAAAACGAAGAGATGCTGTGATAGAGGAGACAATTTGGCTGATGAGACGGTTGAGGTTGGTGTAGGTGGGACGTTCGATGTCTAGATTTCGGCGGCAGATATCATAGATGGCCTCATTGTCCACCATGAAGGCACAATCTGAGTGCTCGAGGGTGGTGTGGGTAGTCAGGATGGAGTTGTAGGGCTCTACCACAGCTGTAGAAACCTGAGGGGCTGGATAGATGGAGAACTCTAGCTTGGACTTCTTTCCATAGTCAACTGAGAGCCGTTCCATCAACAGGGAGGTGAAGCCAGAGCCGGTGCCACCCCCAAAGCTGTGGAATACCAGAAAGCCTTGGAGTCCTGTGCACTGGTCAGACTGAAAGGCAGGAAAGAAGGATGGTCAACACACACCTAGATAGACAGCTGAAGCTGAATCCTGAAGTAGAGCCAAGCTTATCCTAAGAGGGTGGGACCAAGAATCTAACACCTCATACCTATAGAACATCATGCTTCAGAGAACGTGGACCTTTCTAACTCTTCCCTGAAAGTTGCTCAGAAGAAATTTTGTTAGCCCCAGACCCTCCCAAGCTCCCATCCCTAACCCAAGTACTCACCAGTTTGCGGATTCGATCCAGCACAGGGTCAATGATCTCCTTGCCAATGGTGTAGTGGCCACGAGCATAGTTATTAGCAGCATCCTCCTTACCAGTGATCAGCTGCTCTGGGTGGAAGAGTTGTCTGTAGGGGCCATTTCGGATCTCATCTGGAAGGAAGTTTGCCATGTAGTCAAGGAAAGAGAGGTACTGTGCTAAGCACTTCTCATCCTTCCACCAAACATTGTGTTACATGCTAGGGTGTATACAGTTTGCAGCTTAGTCTGTCAGGAGATACCAGCAACTCTATTCATTGCCAAGTCCAGCATGAGATCGATACACCTTACTCAAACAGGTCTGTGAGTTTTTCAGGCAGGAATAGGAAGGTAAGGGGTAGGGTCCAAGGATCCACTTGAGTTCATCCTAGATTGTTCCCTTATCTCAGTCATCCCAAGCCTCCTCTCCCCCTTCCCATCTTCTTACCGATCACTGTGGGCTCCAGGTCCACAAAGACAGCCCGAGGCACATGCTTGCCAGCCCCAGTTTCACAAAAGAAGGTGGTGAAGGAGTCATCTCCTCCCCCAATGGTCTTGTCACTGGGCATCTGCCCATCAGGCTGGATACCGTGTTCCAGGCAGTACAGCTCCCAACAGGCATTGCCCATCTGGACACCTGCCTGCCCCACATGGACTGAGATGCATTCACGCTGAGGGATGGAGGAGAGGTGACAAAATAAGCCCTAAATTCAGCACACTGTTCATCCTGTCATCAGTTCTAAGCCTTCATTTAAGATAGACCATTCTTGGGAGATTCAGGACTTCATAATGGGTAAAGAGCTCAAAAATGCATTATGTAAGCAACACACTCAGTACACCCTTTGAAACTACAGACACAGGGTAAGACTGATTCCACAATCCCCTGAGATGAGAAAGCAGTCAGCAAGAATGTCCATAGGATAACCAAAAATGGGCTAGAGATGCCTAAGTGTCTATAAGAAATTAGCAGGAACAAGGGCAAATTCTCTTACATACACGGTGGAGGACACCAGGAGAGCAGTACAAAATCCCTACCGATTTTTTTTTCTTTTTGGTGGAGGCAATCTGGGTCAAGTGACTTGCCTAGGGTCACGTGGCTAGTAAGTGTCTGAGGCCGGATTTGCACTAAGGTGCTTCTATCCACTGCACCACCTAGCTGCCCCTCCTACCACATTTTAATACAGAACAGAATAGTCTTTTCATCAAAAGGCTCTCAGACCTGGGAAGTCTGCATAATCATCTTCTCTGATAGATTTTAGCTTTGATGAAAAACAGGAGCAGCTGGAACTTCTCGCATCCATAATCAAGGCATTGCAATTGATCTATCACGCTTATGTATCCTATGCTTCTACCTACTTCCCAATTTAAGCCCCATCCTCTCTGGAGCAAAAACAAAAAGAGATTGCAGCTACTTTTCCTACTTCCACCCCCACAGTCTCAAGCTCAAAGCACCACGTCAGCTTGTCACTGGGTACACCAAACCCAGGGAAAGCAGAGCTAGGGAGCTGAAGGAAGCAAGTGCAGCGCAGGGGGGTTATAAGGATAACAGATGTCGTCCAAGGAGACGGTTCTTTTTAGTGCAAGATTAACTACTGAAGAGCCAGTGTGAGAAGAATTAAGGATCAGAGTTCAGGCGGGCCTCCCAACCCCCACTTCAGGATGGCAGAATGAAGGTTACAAAATATTCAGCAAAGGAAGTGGAACTTGTGGTGAGGCCCCAAGGCAAGTGCCCTCCATCTTCCTCCGCATTCCCCTTCTGCAAGGGCCACTGTATCACCCCACCCTACACCGATATAATTTCCAGTGAGGTTCCAGACGAAACGCAGGATTGGATTACAGAGCACCCCCTCCCCCCCACCTCCGGCTATAAATACCATCCGCCCTTCCCTCTCCCCCAAACCTGGCCTCAACCCCAACTCTCCATTCCCTATCCCCAGCTGTCCCTGCCCATCAGTCCGTGCGGGCTGGAGGGGGAGGGGTTAACTCTCAGCATGGTCGGAAACCCTTTCCCGCCGTCCGGTGAGCTCCTCCTAAGCATCCCCCACCCCCGCTCCCCAACTCAGAAGAGGGGTGCTGAGTCACCGAGGAGGACTCGTGAGGCTGCATACTAAGAGGAAGAAGAATGCGTGGCCAGATCCCCGGAGTAATCTGGCCTGCTCCCTGGCCAAGCACGTGTCCCATCCATTCCAGTGTGGTCCCAGATGGGGGGCAGCGAGCCGGACTTCCCTCGCGCGGGAAGGCCAGGGTGCATGAGCAGCGGAGGACGCGTGACTAGCCCCAGGAGAGGGGGAAGGGACACACTTGTGTGGGGGAAAAGGGGACGGGGGAAGTGACTGGGGCCCTTTCCTGTCTCTACCTACAAGCACAGTGCCCCGACTTCTGACCCCATCCTGCTCT